GCCCGCGGCCGCCACGCCCGCGCCGCGCGCCAGGCCACGTGACCGCAAGCACCGCCGCAAGGGCGGGCGCTGGTCCTCGTCCACCTCCTCCTCCTCGTCCTCCTCGTCGTTCGAGTCGTCGTCCTCGTGGGCGAGCGTTGCCGACGGCAACGGGTCCGCCCACCGGGAGACGACGGCCTCCCGCCGCGCCCACAAGCACTGGCACCACGCGAACAGGTAAGCCCCGCTCGCCCGGAGATAGCGTCAGCCCACACTACGCACGTACTGCCCCGGAAACGGTTGCGCCACAGCATACATCGTACTCCTACGACACGAATGCTCTGTTCTCGAACCTTTCAAAGACTTTACCCTTCACACACGACCCAAAGTTCTATTTTCTACCGTGAACTTTTCCCAAATTGATGAGTTTTCGGAGGTTATACCGCGTGTGTACTTTGCATTTCAGTTGAGTAACTACGAGGAAAGTAACCGGGGAATTTGCAATGTTCGAGTGGGTTTTAATAAGACTGTTCCAAGAACGATATTATCTATGAAAGAGCTGCAGAATGCACCAAATATTAAATGAAGAGCTAGCAGCAGCAAGAAGATAATCCCCACCACCACCAAACGTAAATTCCCCCGCTATTCGTATATGTTAATATCTCAATTTTGATGAAAATAAGACTATCTTGTGGCTACGTCTCTTGTTCACTTTTATAAAGAGCTTGCGGCAATATCAAGATGGGACACTCTTGGACGAAAATCAAAATATTTATATTTTACGTATAGCTGGAGGCTTTATATGGCTGGTGAGGCTTATCTTCTTACTGTCCCTAGGCCTTAAAATATGTTGAAAAATTCAAACTTTCAATGCACACACCCTCGTATCAATTTTGTATTGTCACTTACGTTTGGCCGGTAGTGAGGTGGCAAGAATAAAGGATAAGAAAAATTAATATTTCTTATAAAGATAGAGCTCCTTCATTTGCATATATCAAATCTATTGATAAACTATTAATGCTAATTTCATGAGTGGAATAGTCCTCATTTTCTGAAAAAAAATCTATTAATGCCCTTTAGTGAAGTCACTGTTTTACATTTACAAACTAAAAAACAGAAGTGTCAGAATGTGAGATAACCCCTGCTCTAGATGCAGAATACATTTTCCAAATTTAACAATTTATTTTCAAAAATGGATAAGAAATTACATGTAATAAATACGTCATATGAAAGGTAAACGTTATCTATAGCGCTTAATAATTGAAAAGGTATTTGAAGAGATACTACAAGAAGCAGAACCAGACATTATTCCTGCATTTCAATAATGCGCAGGACCTGAGTATACCCTCGGTAATGGTTGGTGCCGACCACCTTTCTGAGGAACTTTACCCATTGAAAGTTTCATGTGAACAATTTTGATGCGTTGGTGAGGCTAATTTGGGTGGTTGTCGAATAAATGTAGCCGAATTTTTATTTTCATTCAGCTGATACGACGACGCCAGCTAAGCACACGAGATTAAAGCCTCCCAGTGCTCAGCATTATCCCAACAACCCAGACCCCAACGCAAGTTCTCACCACTTCTCTTTCTCTCTCTTTCCCTCCACAGCAGCGGCAGCGGCGGCGGGAGCGAGAGCTTCACCCACCGCGCGAAGCTCTCTCGGGATTACGTGTTGCACCACAAACACGACCACAACCACAAGCACCACAGCGCCCACCACCCGCACCACCACCTGCACCACCTGCACCGCCAGAAGGCGCGGCCGCCCGAGTCGGCGGCGCAGCTGCTGGGGGAGGCGGGGGCGGGGCCGCCGAAGCCGTCGCCGTCGCCGAGGCCGGCGCCCGGGCAGC